TGGCTGTTGCCACCAGGTCTCTGTTCTCCACGTGGGCCTCTCCTCGTGGCTGTGTGTGGCTTGGTGCTGTGGTTGGCTTCCTCCAGACTGTGTTCCAAGAGACCAAGATAGAAGCCACATCCTTCATGACCTAGCTTAAGATGTCACACACCACTGCCCCTTCCTTGTGTTGTTGGCCACCCAGATGAGGGCTCAGTGTGGGAGAGGACCATACAAGGGCACGGAGAGCACCACAGTGTGTGTGTGCATGCATGTGTATGTGCATGTGTGTGATGCACGCATGTGGAGGGATGGGCTGAGGTGGTGAAGGTGGATAACCTGTTCATAAAGAGGCACTTTTTGAAACCCAGATGTGGAGACGACAGCGCTGGTGTGCAGGTGGAGTCCAGGAGACAATATGGTGTGATTTTCAGCAGTGACACAGGGTCAGGTTCTAACTTAGACACATAAGCAAGAGATGGTGAAGCTCAGAGGCTACCTGAGTGACAGCCCCTCCTTGAAAGACTTTCTCTGGCAGGGTCGGCTGCAGCCATCTGAGCCTCCATGCCTGGGGGCTTCCTCTGCCAGCCAAGGGCAGGCTGGAGTGCCAGGTGTGGGGGTAATGCCCTGGGAGGAAGCCTCAGCCAATGATGGAAGTTGGAGGATATAAATCCTGGCCTTCTGCCCCCTGAGAGATAACACTGAGGTGTGTTCTACTCAGTCCCTGGAGGATGCCCCGCAGCACTGAGCCTAGCTGCCCATGTCGCTAATCTGCTCGCTAACAGGGGCTGCTTCTGTTCCTTCCTGTTTCCACTTCCCCACTTCTCTTCCGGGATCACCTCTGAATAAGCCACTTGCACTTGAATTTTTGTCTCAAGATCGGCTCCTGGAGGAACCAACCTAACAGTGAAGCCCAGGTGTGCTGGGAGGGGCAGCCTGGGCCCCGGGGGCTTGCCTGGCTGGGATCAGACAGCAGGCACCCCCACCTGCATGCCCTTGCTCTTCCTGCCCAGCCTGTCCCAGCCCCTTTCTTTCCCATGTGCTCACAGAGTTGTGGGGACACTGTTGGAGCTTTTGTCACCTCTTTCCCCTGCCTCAGGGTGGGGTTCGCTATGCTGCCACCTGCCACACCTCAGAACTGTCCCTCTCTTGCACACTTCTGCCCTACAGCCTCTGAGCGAGGTGGTGTGCAGCCTGAGCTTCGGGCACATGCTCTCTTTCTCCCCTTAGCTGGAGCTGGCCAGCCCTCCCTGGTCCCATGAGCAGCCGTAGAGAAGGGCTTTCTGTGCTGAGCCCTGAGGCTGTGGCTGAACACTTGGAGATACCTGGGGTGTTCAGACACCCTGGGCTGGTCATTTCCATCTTAACCATAATACCTATTGTTTGGCTTGGGGCCAACCAAACCTAACGGCCCATGTCTAAGATCAGCTGGGTTCGTATGGCCACGCATTGGTTCAGGTTTAACTCTAAAACTGCCTGGCTGCTGCTCACCCACTGAGTCAGAGACAGGTTGAAGAATCAGGATCAAGACAGTTCTATTGATGCATGAAAGCTTTGAGTTTTTATTGACCTACTGTTGGCAACATTTTTGTGTGAGCATGGAGGGAACTGGAATGTGTGGACATGGGCTTCGGTGACACCTCCAGTGCTGGCTCCTTCTCTACCAAGGTACAAGGCCACACGGGGCAGATGCAGCCGGAGCGGTGCTGATTCCCACCCTTCACCTGCCCCTACAAAGTTCTTTCTCTTCAGATGACAACATGGATGATGGAAGTGTTGGCTTTGCCGTCGTGAAATTCTTTCTCCTTGGCTTTTGAAAAATTTTGAAAAAGGAAAAGGAGAGGCCAGGGTCAAAAACTCACCTTACAAATCAGGGAATGTTCCTGCTATGGATCGAATGTGTCCCCTCCAAAATCCAGGTGTTTTCAATGTGATGGAATTAAGAGGTGGGGTCTTTAAGAAATGATTAGGCCATGAGAGCTTCTCCCTCCTGGGCAAGATTAAGGCCTTTATGAAACAGGCTTCGTGCAACATTCCCACACAGCTTGTCCTCCACTTTCTGCCACGTGAGGATGCAGCAAGAAGGCCCTCACCAAATACCGACACCTTGATCTTGGACTTCTCAGGCTTTAGAGCTGTGAGAAATAAATTTCTGTTCTTTATAAATTACCCTGTCTGTGATATTCTGTTACAGCAGCACAAACTCAGTTCCTTACCTGGGCTCAACAAGGACCAGGGAGAAGTCACACTCCAACCCCGAGGGTGTCCTAGAACAAGAGCGAATCTGAGTCTTGGGACCTGAAGTGGAGATTTGGAAGAGGTGGGAGTCCTGCAGAGACCAGGCTTATGTCCAGGACAGCTGGAAGCTGGGATGTGGTCCCACTGTGTGTCCTGACAACCCTCCTACTCCCCAGGCCCACCCCACCTCCCCTTCCTCTGCCTGAAGGAGAGAGGCTCCGGGAGTATGCAAGACCCCACCCCCCCCCGCCATGCTCGCTGTCCTTGTTACTTCATGTTCACTTTTATATTCAATGTGCCCAGGGCTGTGTCCCAGCGCTGACCCCCTAGGAAAGATGAGGACAGTGTCCACATGTGCCCCTAGCAGATGGAAAGTGGTCATAGTGCAGAATAAGGGAGTGTGTGTAGTTGAGCATTTTGGAACAAATTTATATGTAGTATTTTCTTCTACTGCCTCATTTAATTTCATTTGCAACCATCCATGTAAATGGTCCGGAGACAGAGGATGAGACGTTAGGGGCTAGGAGGGTGCAGAGCTGGATGAGAACTCACGTTGCTGGAGAAGGAGTGAGCTCATTACACTGCACTACAGTCTGTGCCCCTTTTTCTTTCTGGATTGGGGACAAGGGATGCCCCTGCCCAGGTGTTCCCAGCATGTCTGTAGCCTCAGCCTGTGGTACGGGATTTGCACAGGGGCCTACGGCATGAACATACGCAGCATCCAGGGACCCAATTCCCTGATTCTTCCCCGCACAGTCTCCTGAAGGGGAGAAGCGTAGCCACCTCTAGGATCAGGCACAGCACGCAAGGCAAAGTAGGAGAGGTCTTCCACAGGAATGGGGCCCTCAGCGCTAGGCCCATCCTTTCACCAGACCTCTGCACCGGGCCATGTCACGCATAACTCAGAACCCTGGAGATACAGTGGCATCAACACAAGCCCCAGAAATTGTAGAGATTCCCTTCTGGGGTGCAGAGAGCTTCCAAAGCCCCACACGTGCACTCCAAGTCAGGGAGGCGTCAGCACATCCTGCCAGGGCCAGTGCCTTGCGGTGGGCTCCTCTCCCTCATTCCGGGAGGGAGGGCTCTGCTCCCAGAGGGTCCTGACCCAGGATTCCCCAGTGGGCTGAACCCCATGAGACCCTGTCCCAGAAGCCGCCTCAGATATGGTGCTCAAGTGGAATGAGCAGGGTGACTCTCTGGAAAATACGCGCTGGAACCACGGTGGATAAAGGGCTTCTCTGAGCTTCTTCCTGTTGACTGAGTCGTAGTGAAGGAAAGACCAAGGGTGGAGCACACAGGAGAAGGGGTGGGGGGTCGTAAACAAAAACCTATTCATGTCTAGGCAAGGCAGGACAGGGCCGTGAGGGCTCCAGAGTCCAGACGGGGACAAAGAGCAGCAGCTGTTCCTACCTCAGCACTGGGGGGCCTGCAGGGAGACCCCCGTGCCTGGCTCTCCCCTGGCTTTTCCTGGAATCACCGTCTGGAGCTCACCCACCCAGTTGTCTCTATGCAGGACATGTTCCAAGGGAAACACGTGTCTTGACCAGATCCCCTTAAGCTGAGCCTGAAACAGACTGATGAGTGCGGGTGGTTAATTTGGAGATGAACCCAGAAAACACAAGTGAGAAAGGGGGAGAAAAATCAACTTTTCTGTTATCAACATGTCTGTTATCAGTGGGTTACACTGCGGGCCACTAGGTTCATGGTGCAAGTGACACTTAGGGAACCCTGAGCTGTTGTCTTCTGAGTTGGGTGCCCTGGGGCTGGGAGACTGGGACACTCAGCTGCCTCCCTCCTGATGATGGAATGTGACCCTCAGACCTGGCCTCCCCCACACCTGTGGGGTGCACCTGCTCTGCTGAAGGAGCTCCAGGTGCTCAGAGGAAGCCCTGAGCCAAGCTGGGGAAGGCACAGGCGCTTGCGTTGGGAGCTGTGGGCAGCTACATCCAGCCGGCTCTGAGATCGGGGATTGGCAACTATGGTCCAAGGGCGAAATGCAGCCCACCAGGCTAGTGTGAAAAGGTCTTATTGGAACATGACCACTTACTTGTTTACACATCATCTATGGCTGTGTGCAACATACAAAGGCAATGTTGGGTAGCTGAGAAAGATACCATACGGCTTACAAAGGCCAAAACAGTCTTTAGATCTTTACAGAGAATGCACACTAAACATTGGTCTGGGAGACTGGGGCAGAGTGTCAATAGCTGCTGGTACTCCAGTGCGTCTCGAACTGATTGTACACAGACGCCCTGCAGATTAGTGAAAATGCCACATGTGCTGCAAGGGAGCCTGTGGCCCTGCCCTGCTCCATCATGCACCTCTGGTGCTCTGGGAGGCCACAGTCATTGTACCACCAGACCTGGGGGCCAGCGTGCATTGCCTCTGAGACAGCATCTCAGGTGCACCTTCATGTGCCACCTGGAGCCAGCCCAGAAGGACCAAGAAGGAAGGAGGACTACATCCCCTCACCAAGCCCGTGAGGCTGCCCTGCTAAGAATAACTCCACCAACTGCCCAGCACCCCCTAGGCACACGAAGCTTTTTAAAATGCAAAGTTTTAAGATCTATTCTACATGATGAACTTGGACAACATAGAATTTCTCTTAGAAGTTCTGAAACAACTTGTAAAAGAATACCTGGGCATGAACCCATAATACTTGGAAAATAAGAAAAACAAATAAGCACTGAGCTGCTCTGCCACTGAGAAGCCACCTTGTGGAAATTGGTGGTGTCCATGGAAGGAGAAAGCAGCACGTGGCCAGGTATGTGGCTGTGTCCCCTTCATGGGATCGCCTCTGAGCAGGTCTTGTTCAGGAGCTCGAACTGTGTTATCCAGGGTTGGGAGCTGACGGTGAAGAAGCAGGTCAACGTCTGAGGAAACAAGCACAGACAGGTCCATGGGTGCAGAAGTCTCAGGAAGCTTGTGGCTCACGCTCCCATCCTCGCCTATTACTGGGGCCAACAACGGAGAGACACAGCTCTGGGCCCCAGGTGTGGCCCCCCAGCCTAAGCCCAGAGCTATTCCGGACCTTCGGTATGATCTGGGGCTCATTCCTGACCCAGGAGCGCCTGTGTCAACCCCCTTCCCCACCCAGTGGCCTCCAGGGGAACCCCAGGCTGTCTGGTGTAACCCATGCCTCCAAGAGCAGCATAAGACACTCCATTCTGATAAGGGAAACTATTAAACCCTTAGTGTGTGGTTCTCAGTGTTGGACTTCACCATGTCCATGTCCCAGAAACAGGGGCTGCCACTTAGCAGGGCCCAGGCAGGGCCTGGGAGGAAGGGCAGTGGGGCCCCTTCTCAACCTCTACTCCCCTCAGGCTCTGGGTCAGTGCAAGGGGAACCTGAGAACCGCCCATGCAGGTCGAGGTGATGCCCAACTCCTACCAGGCTTCTCCAAAAGGCTGGGGAGAGGAGACGATGGGCAACAGAGAGAGAAAATCTACCTGGGCCCAGGACATCAGGACCTCAGGGGCACAAGAGCAGTCTGAAAGCCCAGTAACCTAGGTGCAGGCAGCTGCAAGGGCATGAGGGGGCAGAGTCAGGAATCTCAGACTGGCCAGGGACTGCAAGTGGACGCCTGAGCTGCCTGCCCAGCAGGGCTCCCCACTAAGGGACAGGCAGGGAAGCCTAGTAGAGCCTGCTGGGTCTCCCTCCTCTACATCCTTAGGGAAAGCTCTTTCAGCTGCGCCCCAGTCCCCACCCAGCCCCCACGCAGCCTCCATAGTTGCATGAATGGAGGAAGCTGGTGTCCCATCTTACGTTGTTCAGCTTTGGGCTTTCTAGAAAGAGGCAGTTGTCAATGTCATCCTCAAATTTTCCACACATGGTTCGGCCCAACAGTAGGTTCATGGAGAATGCTATATTCTCATACTGCTGTTGGACAAAAAAGATTAAAGTGAACATATTCCTTGAAGCCCTTAAGTAACTGCTAATGGAGATGCCATCAGTGTAGGGAGAGGCACTAACACTCAGCTCCATTTGGAAGCTCGCCATGAGCCTGGCATCAGCTCACTGGAGGTGAAACCCCAGGGACTTTCTCTAAATTGGGGAGTTAAGAGCAAAGAGCAGGAGGTCACGCTGGATCCCTGGGGAGACACACACTGAGTCACCCCATTACTGCATCCCCCAGCTGCAGTCCACACCCCCACTCTACCACCATGAGACCCCGCTCCGCTCTCAGGGGGCTTCTGCACCCACAGCTGCCTTCACAGAGGACAGACACCAGGTGCCTGGGAGGCTGTTGGTTCTGTGAGAGTTTTCAGGATGATCTCAGCCCCCAGAGAGGGAGCCTCATCTACAGGGTGTCATCAACCTCTCCCTGGACCTCCAGCAGGAACAATGCCACCCAGTGCTCCCACTGCACACAGCACACGGCATCAGAGCCAGGGCTCCAGGAAACAACGTCTGCCCGAGTGCTAGTGCGCTCCGAATTTCTCTCTGTTGTCCTTCCCGCTCCATCCCATTCCACCCCATCCCACACCTCCCTCCCGTCCATCCAGTCCCCCAACCCCCACACTGACTCTGGGACTGCCAGGCACAGGAGCCCACGTGGGAGGCTCCAGCCAGAGAGCCCGGGGCAGCAGAGCCTGCCAGGGCACTGCAGGGTTTCCACAGAGGCTGAAGCTCTGTGCGGGGTGGGGCCCCTGCGTCCTTCTTTCAGGATCTCTGTGCCCTGGTAGGAAGAGCAATGTCCCCCCAGTCCCCCCAAACCAGAAGTGCTCCCTTCGGAGAGCATTTCCTGTGCTGCCTGCAGCCCGGTGGCCTGTGCGTTCCTCACTGCGCTCTGGAGGGACTCCACCCCAAGGAGAACATCCAGGACTCAGAGCAGTGGTCTAAGGAAGAGTGTGACCCACGTTCACGTCACAAAGTGCAGACACGCCACGGAGCCCAGAGCAGGCGGAATCAGAGAAGAGGAACCGACCAGACAGCGGGCTCAGGACGACGGCTCCTCGTTGCTCCTGAACCCTTGGTCTCTCTCTCTCTCTCTCTCTCTGTTTCTGTTTTTCTAATTTTTTATTTTCATTGTATGTCCTTTAAATATTTGTCAGTCTATATGGTCATTTTCTCTTTTCCTTATTTGAAAACTTCATCTCCTTAGTCCTTATCTTGAAGTCATTCTTCAGTTAACTGATGTCATAGAAATCACGGAGATTGAATAATGTATCTAGTATTGAGTAGAAATTGACTCAATTTTTTTAAAAAATTCTAATTTACATTTTTCATAAAAACTGAAACTGCATTGATTAGGTTGTATTTTATCCAAGGATGGACTACAAATGGCGAACCAAGAGTCCTTGTTAAGATCTGTCCCTGCTCCCACCAGCCCTCCCCATCACTCAGCTAGCAGGGCAGGACATGTGGTCACCAACCTGCTCCTTCCTGGAGTCCAGGATGCTCACCAACCTGTAGGCATGCCAGTCCTGGCTCTGCTGGTTGAATGTGTGCAAGGCGAACTCCACTGTGGCGGGGAAGTATTCTCCTACAGATCCTTCGTCATTCCAGTTCTCCCGCATTTTGATAGGCCAGGCCTGGGTCACCAGGAGCTGCAAGCCTGAGAGAAGCAGCAGCAGTACCCAGGGCAGAGCCCTCTCCCGTGGCAGACCCGACATGGTGCAGGTGCCCAGACACCCCCTGACTTTGCCCTTCCCGGCCCGGCTCTCCCAGGAGCTACCACGCTCAGGTCCTGCCCTTACACTCATCTGCTCGGGCACAGGCTCCTCCCTCTGGTCCTCATCTCTGCCATCACACCCTGTCCCTCCCACACGTGGCCTCACCTCCTCCAGGCAAAGCTGCTTAAATCATCGCCTGTGGAGGGGGAAGAAGTGCCAACTAATGGGGGGTGGCAGGTGGGGAGGACCAGCAGTGGGAGGGAGGGTTCCCCAGACACAAGCCCTCAGGGGGCGAGAGGAGGGATTTATGTGGAGGCCGTAGACTCCAACCTGAAAAGATCACAAACTACAAGTGTGTCAGTGGAAGGTGGTCCCTGGACACACCGGTGGGGGTGGGGAGCAGGGACAGAGACAAGAAAGGACAAAGACAAAGGATGAGTTGCCAAGAGCACATGCTGTGTGTGCACAGAAGTCCCAGCTGCAGGGCTCCAGGGATAGGCTCCACAAAGCAGCCCGAGTGTCGCCTCCTGAGGGCCGAGGGTCTGGCCCAGGGGTGACAGCTGCTCCCGGGTGTCAGTGGCCTGTTGTGTTTCTGGGCCTGCTCCACTGGCACAGCAGCCTTGGGACAGGAACTTGAGAAAGATAAGTAGCTGATGTCATTGGAGTCAGCCATGGGGGATACAAGTGTCGGCAAAGCTGGGAGATGGTCCTAGGACCCCCACACTTCTAGCAGGAGGCAAGGACAGAGGAGCCGGTTGGACCCAAACAACGCCATGCATCCCATACCAGGTCCCTTTCTCCTGGGCACAGCTGGACACAGGTGCAGCCTGTGCTGAGCTCTGACCATGCAATGACGATGGCTGAGAAGGTCCTGGCCCAGGGTATTGCCAGGAGCTGGTGCACATCGTCCCCTCCCTCTCCTGCGGGACAGAGGGAGCCTCCAGGTGGGACTGTGTGCTTGGATGGTGAGGACAGGAAGTGGAGTCTCAGTGGTGCTGCCTGCAGCACAGCCCCACCCCTGGCTGACCCTCTCAGCCCTGGGCCAGGGTGACAAATGGCATTTCATGCTTCACCCACTGAGTTCCTTGGTGCCCCTTCCAGCTGTTGTGCCATCCTGGTGCATTCACCTGAGTTCTCCAGGGCCACAGGGAGCTGGGGGAGGAGGGTCCTGGCTTTGGAGAGCTGAGCGCCATCCCTGCTCTGTCCCCAGCCGATCCTGCACCTTCGCCTGCCCGAGCCCTCTGTGCCTTGGTTGTCTACTTCAAACGGGTGATGCTTCGCCCACCCTCTCCCAGAGGCTTGTTGTTTGGGGGACACATTGTCATCGTGCAGTCAAAATGCTGAGCTAAGTGGAAAGTTGCTCACTTGGGTCAGGAATTCTTCCGCGCTGACGCCTCCTGTCCTAATCGCTGCTGAGGGGACATTTGGAGCTTTCACATTAGTCACTTCTCCCCCGTGTCTGGGCCTGGGCCACAGCCTTGGGGGAGGAGTGAAGGAGGCTCAGAGCTGCCACCGAGGCTGACAGCTACGTGCAGACTCCGGGGCTCGTGCTCACACTGAGAGGACCACATGCACCCGTGTCTGTGCGGGAGGAACCGCAGATGGAGGGGCAGGAGCACCGGGAATTCCTCCAGAGAGGGGCCCCGGTGGGAGGGTGGGCAGGGGCCCAGGACACAGGCACAGCTCAGGGCACTGAGGGACAGGCTTTCACTCCCCTCCTCTCCCCTCTCCAGGTTTCCCCTGCCAGGTCCCCCTGACACTCACTCCTCACCCACCTGGAACATCCCTACCCCCTGGCACCGTGTACTGTGTGGTCATCCTCAATATTTTTGAGAAACACGTAATATTAACATTCAAATAAGGCATTATAGAAAGTTTTATAAAGAATGAAATGTTTAGGCCTGGTGTGGTGACTCACGCCTGTAATCCTAGCACTCTGGGAGGCCAAGGCGGGCAGATTGTTTGAGCTCAGGAGTTCGAAACCAGCCTGAGCAAGAGCGGAGACCCCCGTCTCTACTAAAAATAGAAAGAAATTAATCAGACAACTAAAAATATATACAAAAAATTAGCCAGGCAGGGTGGTGCATGCCTGTAGTCCCAGCCTCCCACCGGGGCCCCTCTCTGGAGGAATTCCCAGTGCTCCTGCCCCTCCATCTGCGGTTCCTTCCGCACAGACATGGGTGCATGTGGTCCTCTCAGTGTGAGCATGAGCCCCGGAGTCTGCACGTAGCTGTCAGCCTCGGTGGCAGCTCTGAGCCTCCTTCACTCCTCCTCCAAGGCTGTGGCCCAGGGGGAGGAGGCTGAGGCAGGAGGATTGCTTGAGCCCACGAGTTTGAGGATGCTGTGAGCTAGGATGACGCCATGGCACTCTAGCCCGGGCAACACAGTGAGACCCTGTCTCAAAAAAAAAAAAAAAAAAGGAATGAAATGTTTACTATAATCCTTTTTAAAAGCCTTGGTCCATTTTGAAAGATCAACCATTAATTTTTAAAAATCAAAAAACAAAAATAAGTTTTCCCTCCAGCATACATAAGAACCAATTGCTAGCATTTGTGCTTTAAGTGCCTGGAATAAAATAGGCCAAATTTTCAAAGGCAGTTAGTAATAGTGTGTACTAGGGCTTGTTTCATTTGATTTAGCACCAAGTAAAGTAAGAGTAAATATGCCATGGAGAACATAGTTGGGTTTTTCCTCCGCTTCTCATATTAGCCCACTTCTCCAGGCCACAGTACATAGCACGTGTTCTTGTTGCCCCACTAAGGAATCTAAGAATCTAAAATGATTCAGGATTGTAAATGGCCGCTCACATGACACTCCCCAGCAGAGTTCTTTCCCCCTAAGATAGGGTGACAGTAAACGCTAGCAGGTAGCAATTTCTTTGATTGAGAATAAAAAACTCCTTCAGGAAACTCAGTTCCTCTCCTGGTTCTTGTTAACCCATCATGTAAATTCTTTTTATTGATCACCCATTTACTGATTGTGATTGCTATTTATACCAAGGGAGTGTTCCCCAGGAATGCTTGACCTCCTTCTATTTCCTAATGACAAAGTATGCTTACTTTACATAATGCCTTGAGTTTTCTCTTTTTCTCTTGTTTCTTTCTTTCTTTTTTTTGTTTTGTTACCGTAACTTGTTATTTATCAAGTCAGAACATATATTTGAATCAAAAAGAGAAACTGGCAAGTAGATCCTGAAATGCATTTCTTGACTTGAGTAACATCTAACAACATAAGACTTTAACTATATTTTCCATTGAAAATTCATTCCATTTTGGTGCTCACTCAAGAATTTATGTCAATTACTGGCATAGCTTATATCTGTCAGTATATATGCATTTTTAAAAGAAAACAAGTCATCTTAAAGTAATATTTTCTTGTATGCAAATTTATACATTTTTATGGCAAATTGAAATTCCGAGTAAACTGAAGGTATACTTAACAACAAAATACAGCATATGTGGCTAGCTTAGACATTTCTTAGTGTAAGGGCAGTAGTGAATTTGAATTTGTATCTTGCAACAGACCTTTAAATCCAGTTGCTGTTTTTTTTTTTCTGAAATCTTATAGATATGGTGTCTCACAAAGCCATGTTCCACAATGCTACAAATGTCTTTTTTTTTTTGCATCAATCTATTCAAAACCCTCTGATGAGATATTTTTCCCAAATGACAGATAATTTTTTAAACTTTTCCAGAAAGACATGAAAATTTTATCAATCATTTATTCTTACTGAACAAAAAGTTAGATTTACTACCAATTGCTCTTTTAATTTTGCTCTACAGATGTTATAAGAGTTTAGACATCTCTGAAGTTTTTGACTTTCATGCCCATAAAAGATAACTGGAGAAAACACACTAGATGATTTCAAAAGATGAATCTTAGTACCTGACTCATTTGCTACATCCTTAGTATTGAGAATAAAATCAGTAGAAATAAAAGTAATATAATTTTCAAAGAATTCATACATGCTGCAGTCTTAAGAAAAGGAGCTTCTAAATGCAAGGACAAGGAGGTGTTGCTCAACTTACTAGTTATAAGCATTTTTCTTTATGGAGTAATTGAGGCTTTCTGGTTTGTTTGCGGAACGTTGGTTTGTAGGAACGCATATATACAGGGCCAAATCTTGTTGGTTTCTGTTCCAGAGAATGTTTCCAGCACCCCTTTTTTTTTCTGGTAGTATTCCAGGACTGGTTGTCTTTGGATTCATAAACTTTTAACCTGTTGATGACTGTCTCTGGTCAATCATCCTCAGGCTGAATGAGATGCTCTGCTGTCAGATCAGCTATGCCCACAGTCTGGGAGGGTCAAATTCGGTGTTGTAGACTCAGCCACTGGCCGGATGAATCCAGAAAGTAACGAATTGTTGTTTAGTGACCTCAAAGGACGCATTCAGGTTAATCACCGTGTCTATCTGATAAGGTCTGTCTAGGGCTTCTGCCTGTGGAAGTGTCCTTGGAAAACCATCCAACAGCCAGCTGTATTGGGTGAGATTTTTCGGCTCACGAAGGGCCAGCAGAGTCATGACATCATCTGGGATGAGTTGGTCAAAGAAAGTCTTGACTAACACATCAATTTCTGTGCCTGGCAGTATGTAACTCATTATTCCTTCAGGGAACTTTAAGATAGGTAAAAGCAGACAACCACAATTTTTTTGAGAGCAAAGTACACTCTGCTGCCTGTGTCCCCAGGAACCCACGACAGTATGCTGTGTTTGGGACAGCCACTGCAGCAGTGAGTGGAAGATGGATAAGGGTAAGTTAAAGCCCCACAAAGCTCTCCTACTGGGTTTCAGTTGCAAATTTTCTTCGATTAAGTGTTTTGTCAGTTGCTATCAACTTTGCCTACTTTCCAGAGTTCTGACAAACTTGGTTTTGCCTATATTGGCTGGGTGTTTCCTACTCCACAATTTTCACTCAAGTCTCTCGTTCACGTTGTTTCATTTTTCACAATTTACCGGTGACATTTTCCCCCAGGAAATTTCTTGCTCCAATCCGGTTGGA